TTCTCACGACGCTGTTTTTGTTCCATTATGAGTAATCGCAACACTCATCTTGCTCACAGCTTTCTCATGTCCAAATTTTCAGTCAATATGCGATGTATAGCACTTTTTGAAATGCCTACCATGTCTGCTAACTCGCGCACTTTCAGTCGACGGTCATCCAATATCATTTTGTGGATTTTCTTCATCATTTCTGGCGTGGTCACCTCATTTGGTCGACCACTGCAATGTTCGTCTTGGCAGCTCGTACGGCCTCGTTTAAACTCTGCCACCCAATATTTTACTGTTGTAAACGAAGGAGCAAACTTCCCCAGAGTAGAACCTAGCTCCGCTTTGATATTGGTTGGACTGAGGCCTTTCAAATGAAAGTATTGTATCACATAACGATGACCAATTTTTTCCATGTTTACAAATTCACTGAGAGCATTCACTATTGATGGCTGCCAAACAAATACTAAACAACGTAGCGTCGTCAAACTTCAAATTTAAACTTTATAAGGTTGGTACTTTCTACCATAGTCATTCTTTTCAAACAACAATCGCTATCTATACGTCAGGTCAGGTACTTCTGGGACTACCCTCGTAATTCTTTTAATTCTTTTAATCAGACATTAAACAAAATTAATTTTATAATCTAAAGGCAACAAAGGTCATTTTTAATTTATCTTTTTATACGACTGCAAATTATTATTTAATTATATATTATGCAAATACTGATAAATATTAATAATAAAGTATTAAGAGGTTGAATTAATTCTGGTTTTATTTTGTCAATATTTCTTTTTTTTAAAGGAATGGTTAAATTTACACCAATCAAAATATTTTCCGTCGTTAGCTGCAACTTTTTCCCATCTTTCTGGCAACATAGTGATTCCACGACGATAGAACATATGTCTCTTGAAGCAATTCAATTAGACCATTTATGCACAAAGTAACTGCCAAAATGTGTTGCATCGATCGGAATAGATGGTAATTAGATGGTGCTAAGTCTAGAGAGTACGCTGGGTGCAGAAAGATTTCCTATTCGAACTCTAACAATGTTTGTTTAACGTTTGAAGCAACATGTGGACGAGCAATTATCGTGCAAAAGAATCGTTTTGCATCTATTGTTGGCTATCGCTGACCTTTTTTGAATCAATTCATCATTCAATTTGTTCAATTGTTGCTGATATCGTACCCCTCCTCGGTAACTGTTTCAATTAGAAGCCCATAGTACACCACACCTTCCATATCTTATCAAATAAAATAAACGTCCTAATGGCTGGACACGTCCCAGTATCCGACCACTTTGAAAAAAAATATTTACTATTTATTTTAACAATAATAAATGAAAGTAATTATTTCTTTTAACAATAATAAAAGAATGAAATAATTATAAAAAACGAATGAAATAATTGTAAAAAAACTCCAATATTTGACGATTAGTTGAAAAAAAAAATATGCTCAATTTGATACATTTATGTTAAAATAAAAATTAATTAAATAAGCATGCACCTATGGTTTGGCAAAATAATGATCAATCGTTAATAAATTCATTAAGAGATAGCATCTAACACATCGCTCAATAAGTTTGTAGGATGACTAATATAAACAACAACTTTTAGGCAAAATTTGACTTTATTCATCTACATAGTCTCCTTCCAGAGTGATACATTGATTTCAACGCTTCTTTAACATTTCGATGGCTTTTTTGTAGAACGATTTATCTTTGGTCTCAAAATAGGCTTCAATTTCGGTTTTGGGCGGTTTCGCCAGTTGTTGTTCACTCAGCTGACTGTCGATTTGACTCTGGAGTGTAGTGATGGATCCATGTTTCGTCCATTGTCATACCGCATCAAAAAATCCTTTTTATTACGCTGAAACAGCTCCAAACAGCCCGCTGAATCGTCGACGCGTTGCTGTTTTTGATTGACTGTGAGCAAACGCGGTACCCACTTCGAACCATTGTAACTTGTGAACTAAACGTCCGATTGTCTAGAAATTTTAACACGTATCATTTGAAGGTTAGTACTTCCTAAAAATCATATGGATTTGTCAATAGTAGCGTCATTTATATGTCATCCTACGAACTTATTGAGTGATGTGTTATATTTATATTATTTCCCGTTAGCACATACTAATTTTCTAATTGCGGTCAGACACTGGGACAAATATATTCGAACATTGGGCCATAATTTATTTCAACTGTCTGGTTACTGGTACACTAATGCGCTTCATTACTTATGTAATTCATTAATAATAGATATATACATTGGTCATTTTTTCTACTTAAGGGAATCTTAAGTTTTCAAATAAATGCAAATTTTATATCAAAACTATTCTTAGTATTATATATATTTTTTATGGCGATTTACGCTTAAACATTCCGTTACTGAGACATACGAGAGCGGTCCGATAAGTACTTAGCCTCACCGCCCGATGGCGCCACTATCGCAAGAGAAATTTACTATCGTGTAGTACATTCTCGTAGACGGCTACTGTCGAAATTTCAGCCGAATCGGACTCGTAGTTTTGTTTTGACCGCGTGTGGAAGCGGGCGTGTCCGCGGATTTTAGAAAAATGGAAAAAGAGCAATATCGGTCGGTGATTCGATTCTTGTTTTTGGAAGGGAAATCGCGCAGCGAAATCAAAGAGCGCTTGGATGCTGTATACGGTGACTCTTCTCCTTCGATGGCGACCGTCAAAAATTGGTTTAACGAGTTTCAACATGGTCGCACGTCGGTTTTTGATGAGCCACGCCCAGGTGCCCCGAAAACGGCTACCACGGAGGATAACATGACAAAAATCCACGATCTTGTATTGGCAGACCGCCGATTGAAGGTGCGCGAGATAGCTGAGACAGTAGGCATCTCAAAAGACCGCGTGGGTCATATCCTGCATGAAATTTTGGGCATGAGAAAGCTGTCGGCGCGATGGGTGCCGCGTTTGCTCACTCCGGACAACAAGCGCAACCGTGAGACCACTTCAGAGCAGTGTTTGACGCTGTTTAAGCGCAATCCGAAGGAGTTTCTGCGTCGTTTCGTGACCGTCGACGAAATATGGATCCACTGGTACACACCAGAGACCAAGGAACAGTCGAAACAGTGGACTTCACCCGGCGAACGAAGAAGGCGAAGACTGTCCTATCGGCTGGGAAGGTGATGACCACCGTTTTCTGGGATTCACAAGGTGTGATCTACATCGACTACCTGGAGAAGGGCAAAATGGTCACAGGGCTGTACTATGCCGAATTATTGGGCCGATTCGACGCCGAATTGCAGAAAAAACGACCCCATTTGGCGAAGAAAAAAGTGCTCTTCCACCATGACAACGCACCGGCTCACACCTCCGCCCTCGCCACGGTCAAATTGGTCGAATTGGGCTACGAACTGCTGCCCCATCCACCGTATTCTCCAGATTTGGCCCCGTGCGACTTCTTTTTGTTTCCAAACTTGAAAAAGTCACTCGCCGGGCAGAAATTTGAGTCGAATGAGGAGGTCATCGCCGCCACGGAGACCTACTTTGCAGACCTCGAGAAAACGTATTTTTCAGACGGGTTAAAGAAGTTGGAGCATCGCTGGGTCAAGTGTATCGAGCTAAAAGGAGACTATGTTGAGAAATAAATCGCCACTTTTCCAAAATTTTCGTTTTTCTTTTGTAGGCTAAGTACTTATCGGTCCACCCTCGTACAGCGCTAGTTATACAAAGCGCTAGTTGTATACGGCGCTACTTGTACATGGCGCTAGTTGTACATGGCGCTAATTGTACACGGCGCTAATTGTACATACACAACGTTAGTTGTACACATACAATTATGTTAGATAAACTTTGAATATAAATTTTTTATGTGAATTTATATCTTTCACTTTGATTTCACATGCATGATTATTATAAATTATTTTAGACAATTTTTAGTTATGGAGAATAATTCAGATTTAAATGTCGATAACTCAGATAGTAATTCAGATATGTTGAATTTGAGTATGCATCAAGACAGTACTAGAGCTTGCAAAAAAAGAAAATGGTAAGTAATGTATAGAGAAATTGATGAAAATAATACGAGATAAGATTTCTTTTCGATAACTAAAATAACCTAAATCATTAATTTTGTGATTGGACAGGAAAATCAAGATACTGAAGAGAAGGATAATGAAAGTAATAATAATTTTGATATTCAAGAAACTGTTAGTGCAACTGATATGGCAAAGATCAATGCACCTCATGCATTAATTTGGCATTTTTTTACTAAAATTGAAGAAAGCCAATATAAAGCTACTTGTAATATTTGCAAGATTGTCAGAAGTATTCCAACTAGTACAACAACGACTCTTCAAAATCATTTGAAGAGACATGTTAGTTCATACAATGAATATTTAAGATTAAAACAGCTTAAAGAAAGTAAAACTGTAACAAAGAATAAATTAAAAGAAAAATCTAATAGGCAGATGCCCCTAAAAAAAAGTTTAGATCGCACAATGGCTTACGATCCTTCGAGCAAAAAGCACAAGATATAACTAAAGCTATAGCTATATTTATTTCTAAGGGTTTACATGCATATAATATTGTCGAGGAACCAGCTTTCAAGGATTTAATATTTCTTCTGGAGCCAAAATATGTTGTCCCCTGCCGCACAACATTTTCAAGGTCAGTGATATCAAAAATATATAAAGAATTAAAAGATCGAATGCTTAAAATAATACATTTTGCAAAAGGCACTCTTCGTGCAATATGCATGACAACTGATTTATGGAGCTCTAGATCTGGCGATTCATATATAGCCTTCACGTTACAATTTCTCAACGAAGATTTTGTCATGCAGTAAATGACAATAGATTGTCAGCCATTTCCTAGTAAACCTGATGCTGCGGCTATTTGTAAAAAGATGGAAGATATAATTTTTGAATTAGATCTATGTGATCGAAAGATAAAGAAGTATATAGTTTCTGATAATGGAACTAATATGGTGAAAGCACTTAGTAATGATCCTGTATGCAACTTAAATAATGATTTAAATGATGATTTTGACATGGCTGAAGCTATTACAAAAAAATCTTGGGAACATATTCTTTGTTATAATCATACTCTACAATTAACAATTAGTGATACAAGGAAAGAAATGAATGCCAATGGTGTCATAGAAAAAGTATCCAGTATAGTGGGTCGTTACAATAGGAGTAAATCTGCAAGAGAATCACTTGAACATTTCCAATATGAGCACAAAATCCCGAATCATGATTTGATCCAAATGGTTTGTACGCGCTGGGATAGTGAATTTTTGATGCTGGAAAGATTTGTGGAGCAAAAACCTGCAATTATCAGCGAACACATTAAAGCAGGCATTAATAATCTTACAACTCAAGAATGGAAGCTAATAGAGGAATATGTTGAAGTTTTACGAACCTATTGCCACCTTCACTGCTGAAATGAATAGCCGGACGAAACCAATTCTATCTATGATATTACCTGTCCTGTTTGAAATTAAATTATCAATGGAAGATATTATTAGGAAAGGATCAAGAGGGACAGGTATAATGTTCGCAAGAAAACTTTTAGCCAACGTAAAGCAAAGATTTCCTGATTCAGAATATTGGGATTTACCATTATATAGAACAGCAATGTTACTTAACCCAAGATTTAAAGACGCTCTTCTTAGCAAGAAAGACAGTACTTCTTTACTTGAAGAGAAGGCTATAGAAAATCGAAAAAAAAATATAACCACTTCTGAATATCAGGCTTCAATTCAAATTCAATCTTCACAAGCAGAAGTTTTCTCTAAACAAAGTAAATGGGGTCATCTGAAAAGGAAGACTGATATAAGAAATGTGAACATTCCAAATGAAGAAGCAAAAATCACAATAGAAGTAAGATTTTTTTCCTGATGTTTATAGTTTTTGTAAATATCATCTCAAACTAATTTAATTATCATTATATGCAATAATTGATTAACAAATTCGTATTTATTACTATATTTTTCTGAAGTCAGTCAGTCTCATTTACATTAATTATAAAATTTACATCATAGTGATTCAAATTTTTATACTTATAAAAATATAATTATCAGAAATTACTTGAGATATTAGAATATAAACGCGTCTTTATTACAGAAACTGTAATTATATTCTAGCATTTCTGAATAAGATAATTCTTACTATTGACTACCCTATTTTCGAGAAATATTAATTAGAATAAATTTTGATTTCATACAAAGGTGGAGAATTATCCGAAGTTACCCACAATCGGAGAACAAGACGATCCACTCATGTGGTGGAAGGCAAACGCTTCACAATTTCCAACTTTGGCACCTCTTGCACGCCATTATCTTAATATTGCCGCAACAGAAACATCTAGTGAGAGAGTATTTTCCGTGGGAGGAAATATAGTCACTAATAAAAGAACAAATCTATTAGCAGATAATGTGAGACAAATTATATTTTGCCACGATAATTTGTCAGCTCTCGATTACCCACGCTTTGGGAAACGTTAACAGCACTGAATTGAAAAACACATCCTAAAAAATAAAGTTAAAAACTTTTAAAGTCAAATTATGGGTATTGCCTATTTTTTATTTTAACTTCATTTAAGATTAATATTTTACGTTACGTACTAAAAATCGCACGTATCCAAGATCTCATTTTATTTTAATATAAATTTATTTACGTACTGTGATTTACGTTATTCAGTTATAGTTTAGTTTGTTTTATATTTATTGACATTATATTGATATTATATTGTTGACATGTACTATAGACCTACTGTAATAATTAAAATTAATAAATAAGATTTCATTTTATTTTAAAGCATTAATACGTATTTCTTAAATTTATAATTAACTTAACTTATAATTAATAACTTAATTTAAATTTATTTAAATATATATTTTACTTTAAGATTATGTTACATTATCAATATTCCCTTTCGTATTAAAATCTTCCATCATTATTTGCATGTTTAATAATCATGTTAAATTTTTTAATGATTCGATTCGATTCGAATTCGAATTTGAAAAATGAGATTCGATTCGATTCGATTCGACATAAAAATTCTTGATTCGCACATCTCTATTCAAATCGATACGAAGCTCAGTTTAAAAGAAATCACTGCAGAAAGTTGAACAATAAAATTTCGAGAAAAACGCGTTTAAAATTTAAATGGACGTATATTTATATGAATATTTGTTTAAAAACAAAATTTTTCTACTCTTCATATCTTATATAAATATATGTAAAATTTTCATTCTTTATATATTTATTCAGTTCATCACAAAATCATTATCAAAAATAAGCACGATTTTTCAGTAATCTGACCCTCCAGTCCCCTTAAGCGGTGTTTTCATTCAATATCTTTCATTCAATGCTTGCAATTCAAAATTTTTGAATTTTTTTGGTTGACCAGTACGTCGTTTGTCACTCAAATCAAGATCACCAGTTTTGAAACCAAAATTTACAGTTAGAATATAATGGAGCTTGATCACCATAAGTTGTAACAAGCACTTCATGAACTTCAGTTGCCGATATTTTCAAATTAAACAAAAAAGTAATGAATGTCGAAAATGCGATTTCGTACGATCCATTTTAGACGCGTATAAACAATGAAACTGTCAATAACAATAGCGCGCAAGCTGTCATATGTCATAGAGAAATGTCAAATATTTCAAAGTTGTCAAAGTTCAACATTCGTACTAATCATTAACTTGTTACTAAAAACATCTATTGCTAGAGGCCAGAACTAATTCAATCTCCTAATATTTACAAACCCTTTCTTTTTATCAGTTTATAGTTAATGTGTGTAATATACACACACTATTTCTTTCAGTATGCTATTTATGGAGAAAGTATCTATTTTATTATACTATTTATTAACTGCTATATTGATTTCCACTGATTACTTCAACGTTCAATTCAAATTTATATTATCAAATATGCGATTGATGGATGCAAATAATGATGTATTTGTTATCTAAAGCTATCAAATCTCCGTGAACTGTATTTGTTATACACAATTAAGTTACGTTTTATAGATTAATTAGCAAAATGCGGTAATATTATAACTTTTGTCATATAACATTAGAATTATCAAACGTTAAAAAATACACAGTTTATAATTTCTTATAAATTCACTTAAATTATTAGGTGTACAACTTTGCTTCCGCCGTTTTCCTATAGATGGCTTTAGCGGTAAGTAGTAGTCGAAATAAATAGATCATAGACGTCATGCAATAAACTTGGGCATCTGTCAACATAACTCCATAGAAACATTAGTCGATTTGTATCTGCATCATAAAGTTATTCTCGATTGAAAATGTCAGTATACGAGTCAAATTCTCGTCATTTGCGGGAGGTTTTAATCTTCCGCAATATGAAGAAATCTACAGCCGAGGCTCATCGAATGCTCTCAAATACTTATGGTGAGGCTGCTATTAGTGAAAGAACGTGTCGTTAGTGGTTTCAACGCTTCAAGAACGGTGATTTTCACGTCGAAGACCGGCATAGCGGTGGAAGAGACAAAGTCAAGAAGAATTGGCACGATCATTGGGAGTGATTCAACAAGCAATTTCAAAACGCCTCAAAGACATGGGAATGATTCAGAAGCAAGGAAATTGGGTGCCGTACGAGGTGAAACCGAGAGATGTTGAACGGTGTTTATTTGCTTGTGAACAGTTGTTTGAAAAGCAAAGACGGAATTTCTGCATCGCATTGTGACTGGGGATGACAAATGGGTTCATTACGATAACCCCAAGCGCAGAAAATCATGGGCATATCCCGGCCATGCTTCCACATTGACGGCCAAACCGAATATTCACGGCTCCAAGGTCATGCTCCGTATTTGGTGGGACCAGCTCGGCGTAGTGTATTATGAGCTGTTAAAATCGACTGAAACAATCACAGGCGATCGTTATCGAATGAAATTAATGCGTTTGAGCCGAGCATTGAAAGACAAACGGCCGCAATATAACGAGAGACACGATAAAGTGATTTTGCAGCATGACAATGCTCGACCCCATGTTGCGAAAGTGGTCAAGATATACTTGGAAACGTTGAAATGGGAAGTCATACCCCAACCGCCGTATTCTCCAGACGTTGCTCCCTCTGACTATTACCTGTTTCGATCAATAGCACACGGCCTGGTTGATCAGCACTTCCGGTCTTATGAAGAAGTAAGCAATTGGATCGATTCGTGGATTGCTTCAAAAGATGACCAGTTTTTTCAACGCGGGATTCGTACGCTGCCCGAAAAATGGGAGAAAGTAGTGGCTAGCCATGGACAATACTTTGAATCATAAATGTATAACCAGTTTTTTACAATAAAGCCTCAAGTTTCGGAAAAAAACGGCGGAAGCAAAGTTGTACACCTAATACTCTTTAAAAATTACTTAAATTCTATATATTCTATATATACGTGCGTGCGTGTGTGTCTATATATGATATAACAATATATTTTTAATGGACAATACATTTTTAATGGACATTGAACAAAGCTAAAAGAAATAGATAATCATTTTTGCTTTTATATAATATATTTTTTCAGGAATCTCTCATTGCAACCATTATAATACAAATAGGTTATGTTAACCTCGCCAGTAATTCTAATACTAAAAAGTAAAACCTTTATCCGTAGACCTTTTAATTTGTTACGTTTTGAAATATTTAATTGTTTCTAGACACCTTAATTGTATTTCCCTCAATATATAATATTAATATACAGGGTGTACGAAAAATATGGAAATCCCTTAATATCTCGGAAAATACGCATTTTAGAAAAAAAGGTTTTATACAAAGTTAATAGGGTTTTATAAGGTGCATTACATGGCAATATTACTATGACCTTGAATAGCGTTGTCAAGGTCACGTGAAGGTCACCTTAAATTGGGATTTTGGACCGCACTTTTGGCTCCCCGGGCCCGCAAGACGGGTTTGGCTCTCAGCAATCTGATGTGAACCCAGGGGGGCCCAAGATGGCGGGCTCGCTGCCTATACGTTGGTGTCGTGCTCTTGATCCCTTTCTATGGGGCACCCATATGGGCGTCCCAACTCATGGCCACCGACCGCAACAAGCGCCTGATGCATCAAGCGATGCAGTCGGTGGTGGTGAGGGCGATCAGGGGGTACGGCACCGTGTCGTACATGACGACGACCACCCTGACCGCCCACCCTCCGTGGAGGTCCTTGCCCAAGTGAGGCACACCCTCTATTGGAGGGTGAGAGAGCTCCGCGAAGAGTGGGAGGGATTAACGGTCAGACGCCTGGCGGCTCTGAAATCCCAGTTCAGAGCCCGGGTCCTCGAGCAGTGGTCCGCCCTGTTGGCCGATCCTCGTGGATTCGGGCTTCGAGGCCGTCCGCCCCTGTCTGCCTGACGTGGCAGACAGGCGAGGAAGGGGACTCACCTTCCATCTGGTGTAGGTGCTGACCGGACACGGGTGTTTCTGTATCTGCACCGGATTGGGAAGGAGTCCACCACCGGATGTCACCACTGCCCGGAGCCTCAGGACACGGTGGAACATACGCTGGGGACATTCCCCGCATGGACCCAGCAGCGCCGTGTCCTGGCCCGGGCGGTGGGGTGCTGCGTGGTGGCATGGTTCGCGCCATGTGCGGAAGCAAGGAGATGTGGGGGACGGCGGCCTTCTTCTGTAGGGATGTAATGTCCAAGAAGAAGGCCGCCGAATGGGAGCGCCGCCTCGGCAACCGCAGAGAGCAGCGACGCCGGCAGCGCTCCCCCCGAGTTAGGAAGCGGGCCCGAGGTGGCGTCGGCCGAGGAGCCGCCCTCGATCCGTCGGGGGCCTTCTCGGCAACCTCGGGTCTGTTACGTTGATAGGGTATGATAAAGGGGGAGTGAAGGCCCGTTTGGGGACGGGCCCCACTCCCCCGCCCCCCTTGACGAACAAGGGGGCTAGGAAAGGGCGGGCGTCCCCTCTCTCCAGAATAGGAACGAGAAGGCCAACCCGGCCGGGTAACCGGCCGGGGTGCCGCGCCTTCAACTCCCCTTGTGGGAGGGAGGGCGGCACTTGAGCGTGGCACTGCAGTAGAGCCCTAGGGCCGGGGTGTTGGGGAGGGAATGCAGACGTTGTTCCCCTGGCATCCCACACAACGGCCCGAAAGGTAAACACACCGGTGGGGTTTTAGCCGGTAAAAGTCTGCTCGTGCGTGTGTGTATGTGTGAGGTGTACCGTTGATTTTGTTATTTGCATTTTTGTGCGGAAACCTTCCAATTTTAACATTGAATTGGCACATTGTCAAACTGTTAATGCATAGGTTTCGCCATTCAGATTACTATTACTAAGTGCGCAATTAAGTTCCCGGGTTTCACACATGGATGGCGCTAACGACACATGTAGTCCACACACATGTCTGAAGTTGTTTTTTTTATACCTTGGACATCTGTTAACAATAACTAGTCGTAATACCAACACATATCGCAACGCAAAAGTATTTTTTCTAACAACGAAGATGTCGAGTTTTGTGCCAAATAAACAGCATTTGCGGGAAGCTTTTCTGCTTTAACTTGAAAAAAGTGCAACTGAAGCACGTCGTTTGGTTGAGGAGCCTACCGCGAACATGCACCATCGAAAACTGCT